TTTGGTTCTTTAAAATGACATATGGCCTAGACATCTATCATTAATAATAGATAATGTTGATGTAATCAACTGGTGGCAGCTGAGGGACACATCACGTGAGTTCTTAGTTTGGTGAAACAAGCAGTGGCCACATGGGGATCGTGACAGTTTCATTCACAGATTCCAGTTTACATAGAAAGGCATGTGTATACCAAATCTTGGATGTCACAAGCCTTTCTGTACATGAAACCATCATACCATGTTCATCCAAAGGTATGCATTAAAATTATGTCAAAAGAGATATAATTTGCCCTTGTTTTGGTGAAATGGGGTAAGGAAGGGATTGGTTGGGGATTGGGAGGAGGCTGGATGGTTACACATGGGGGCCCAAAGGACCACATGCAGTCCCATGTGTCCCATGATGGCTCACTCTGGATTTGGTGAGAAACATTAATGCAGCCACTGTCTTTTTGCCAATGACAGTTTAGATTTCATAATAACAAGCTGTAAATATAGCAGTTATCTACAGACATAGAGATCTTGCATTACTTTTTGGCTTGTCCATTGTGAAACTATAACAAAATAAAAGCAAAAGAGTTGTGGCACTGTCAAAGACTAACAGACTTATTTCAGTGTAAACTTCTATGAACTGCAGTCTGCTTTCTCAGACAGATACATTATCAACAGCTTATTTTCCCTTAGCTGTTCAGATATTATCAATTATGAAGAATGGGGGAACTGTGTAAGTCTGTTGCAGAAACTTTCATGATCAAGTGGGCTACACTCCACAAACAATTATGGCAAATGAAACCTTCTAGTTTTATGGTGCCAAAAGGCTTTGTCAGGGTTCAGAGAAATATTGTGAAGTACAGAGCCCAGAAGTACCTGGGCTCCCATCATTGTGTACCGAATGGCTTTCCATGGGCTATAGTGGACTGTATAGTCTGTGAAAGGCAAGATGGTCACCACATGGACTCCCTGGATGCTGGGGTGAAATCGGAACTGCTTGCTTGAACAATTCTCCTGTGAGCTGCTTGTTTAAGCAGCATTCCTGACAGCTCTCCATTGGCTGGGAGACTATAGAGAAGAAGACTTCTCTTCTATCCCATCTAAATAGAGTATAAAGAGGTGGGCCAGCACATTGCCAGCTCTTCCCTTTTGATCAGCATTCTCCATACACGCCCCATCATGCTGGGGGTGCATGTTATCTGTTGTCATTGGTCTATCCAATACACAGTCATTATTTCGAGTCACAGCTTTATGGAGGGATGCACTCGTGGAACTTGGCTTAGATCCTGGTGTCAGTATTAACCTGACACTCTTGGGGTTTAGGAAGGGAGCAGGGGAGGGGAGCAAAGGCATGCCCACGATTAGCTCAGAAGCCAGAGCCCCAGTCTTACCTTCCAGTGATGGAGAACCTCATAATTGGCTGTGTCTGCCTAGTATCCAGCAAACTGTCACTCCTACTTTACCCCAACAACTGTGATACTAGCCTATTTGTTTGACCTGGGACCAGCTCAGCTCCAGGGGCAAAATAGAAAGCAATGTAGACGATGTAGTAGATGATGTATAGAGGGGCGGGGCAAAATCAAATAAATAAATAAATAAATAAAATGTTAGACTACTTAATGAAAAAATATTTTGTTTTTTAGAAGTCTTACAAAGGAGTAGAATAATAGTAGAATAATATTGAACAAAAAAGGAAACTTGCCCATATACGCTATTACCTATTTAACCTCAGACAGGTTAGGCTTGGAAGACTTTTGGTTTAGCTATTTAACTTTTAATTATTTCAGGCACATACTCAAGTCTCTAGTCTTGCTGAAAGCAAAAGATCTGTGATAAATAGATGAAAGTGTGTAGCTTTTAAAAAAATAGGGAAAAACTGCAGGCAGAGAGAAATGATAGGGCCATAATAAGGTACAGTGGGGTCTTGACTTGAGAGAATGATAGGGCCATAATAAGGTATTTGTCCAAACATACAAGCAAACATCATTGCAAGAAATATAAAAGCTGTACCCAAAAAAAGTTTGATAAAAAAGTGACAAAGTGAAATACAGTATCTTCTAAGACAGATCACAGCCGTCCATAGAAACTAATGGGAAGCTGCTATTCCGCCTTCGACCACTAGAGGGGGATATTTTGTTTCTTTTTTTTTTTGTTAGATCAAGAAAGGTTCAGGGAAAATACAGTCCAGGCAGTACAGTACCAGGCAGTCCGAAGACTGTCTCCCAATCCACTCTCTAAACGCTGGGAGGAGTGAGGAAGCAGACAGGCACCTTTTTCACTGGCCAACAGTTAATTGAAAGTTCACATTTTGCACTTTCCCTGCCTCCCACATGGTTTTTTCCAGTTCTTAACTCAAATCTAAGTATGTAAGTCAAGTCAATATTTTCCTATGAGAGTGGTTCTTAAGTCAAAATGTTCTTAACTCGAGCCGTTCTTAAGTCAAGACCCCACTGTATTTGTCCAAACATTCAAGCAAACATCACTGCAAGAAATATAAAAGCTGTACCAAAAAAAGTTTGATAAAAAAGTGACAACGTGAAATACAGTATCTTCTAAGACAGATCACAGAATTCTATGGACTGATTAACTTATTGATATTCTTTTTGGTACAAATCAGACCCACAATCAAATGGGTTTTTGTTCTGCGGGTAGGAAGAGACTGTATTCTTTTTTAATTCTGAGAAATTTCTATTCAAGTTGATCCAGAGGTCATTTATAGACAATCGTTTTTACACTTTGTTTTTACTATAAAAAAACCTTATGAGAATGTTATGTGAGTGGTATGAATCTAGAGAATTCTATTTTAAGGCATTGAAACATTCCTTTAGCTTACTGGGATGCAGTTAGAAATGTAGGTGACTGGAACTGTTGAAAATGTGCTTGCTTTCTGGTTATATAGTTAGGTGTTAAGGATATACTTGGTATTGAAGCATTCTTTCAATATGCCTCTGCAATCAATAAAATGTTAAATATTAAATTTTAAAAAGGTAAGAGCAGCATAAAGAACATTCTTATTTAATTTGTCAGAAGACAATTGTTGCAGCTTCTTCATTTACTTAGATTTTTCAGATACTATGGGCTGGAGAAAGAGTGTATATTCAATCTCACACTGTATGTTATTAAATTTAAAGTTCTTAATGAACTTTCATGTTGATGAACTCTTAAATTTAATCAACTTGTATATTACCAAACCCTCAGATAATAAGAAGTTTATATATATTGTTGGAATCTAAACCTGTACCTTAATTAGCAACAGTAAACAGCCATTGTTTATAGGAATTTTTTTTTCTATCTGTATCACAGTAAAAAGAAAGAGAGGGTTGTTGTTCCTTAGATAGTGATAGGGGTTGGAAATACATTTTAAGTTGTTCTAAAGATGTTCCAGAATGCAGTTTGTTTTTCAAGATCAAAGTGAAAAGTGATCCTTATGTTGTACTTCAGGTAGCAGCAGGCAAGTACCTTACATGACATTTTGTCTCAGTTGACGGAGTCAGGTTCATGTACTCACCAACTTAATAGCAGGCTAGCCTTTAACTCAAGCTAACAAAATGAATTAGTAATCTTATGCGTCAAAAACACTGATTTTTACAGTATCTGATTCATATGTGGAGCTTACTATGAAATGTGAATTTCATTGTATGGGTATACTGTGTATATACTTACAATGACAATAAATTATTATTATTACTATACTTAAGATACTTTTACTTGTCAGTCCAGTCTTGAAAAGGGGAAACTACTTTTGTAGAAGCTTTTTATTTATTTTATTATTATTTTTGCAAACTTGATTTTAACATTACTTTCATATTATGCTTACTGTTTTCTCTGTGACTTAAATATTTCCAGAGGCAATATAAAGACCAAGACTAAATCAAATGGCACTTTAATTCTTTGTTTTTCTAACAACTTCATAATTTCAGTCTATTTAAAATAATTGTGAGTTTTCTTTTAGCATAATTCAGAATTCTCCAAAGTGTTCTCCTTTAGCTGTATGGTACAATGTGATTTCAATGTGCACTTTGTGGTTATGGTGGAACAAGAGTACACTCCATGTGCCAAATGTGTTTGGTTTGAGATTTCGCACCAACCCTGTACTTTCATCATAGCCACCAGTCATAACTTTGCAGTGAGTCTATCCGAGCATGTTTGCTGACACAATTGGGCATAATTAAGTTAAAATACTAGCAAAACCTATAGTTGTGTGTTCAGCAAGACACACAATTTTCTTTCAGTCTTATTTTATGAAGTAATTTGGATATTCAGATAAATTGTATCTGTTGCCTATTTAGTATATCTTTTAAATACTGTTTCTTTTGAATACTTAATTCTCTGTAAGTTTATCACTTTATTAACAGATAAGAGTAGGGATACTTGGCAGAACTCCAAAGATATACGCATGGTCTCTCAGCTCATCAAGAGCCATCTGGCAAAATTCCTGATTGAAACACTCCCTTCTCTTATGTAAAAAGTTTCAGTATCTGTGTGGATTTGCAAAAAGTCTACAAAATGGAAATCACCACCAATTACAAATACACTATTTGTTTATTTTTCCATTTAAAAAAAGAGGAATTAGAGTATTTCTTGTTACTGAAGTTTGGGAGTTTATTTGATTCAATTTTTTCTTGAATTTGGATTGCCTTTTTTTGTCTAGACTGAGTATTCACTCACTTCAGTTTGTTAATAACATATTTAATGAAGACCTATTAGATTTTAATTCCAAACCTGCATAACCTCACTAGCAATAAAAACAGTACAGGGTATTAATTTGTACAATATTACCAATGTTTGGGGATTTTTTGTTTCTTATAAGACATTTATAGAGTACCCACTGATGAGTTCATATGAAACAGTCTTCACCTTGATTTGGCCTGGATCAGAACTAAATATTTAATACGTGTGTTGATATCTATGTAATAATATATTTTTATTTGTACTCTTTTGTTATCTATGTGCAGTGTAAATCTTACAAAATAGAAACTGAATAGCTAACATTCTTGTTTTCTCTCTTGTAGACTCAAAATCGCATGAAATTGATGGCAGATAATTATGATGATGATCACCTTAAATCATCTCGTTCCAACCAAACTAATCATAAACCCTCCCCAGATCAGGTAAGGCTATTTTTCTTTTCTTTTAAAATCACATTCATTATTTAAAGTGTCTTGGTTTTGTTCATTATATAGGACCAACCGCAGAGCTTCCAAAATGGAATTCAGGTGGTGCTTGTTGTGCTAACATATAGTTTCACACACTGAAAAGAAATTAAAGCAATTCCCTCATGTGCAATATGACTGAAACAGAAGGCAATGACCCTATGAGATTAAGGTGAGGTGTCAAATGTGGCATACTATTGAGAAATTAGGCCACAGTAGTCAATCAAATATGCAGTATTTCAGTTTATAGACATTATAAGATATAAACTTATAGTCAAATACCAAATGCAGTTAATATGAGAATAATTATAGTGGTCCAGAGTTTTAAAAGATTGCAGGATAGGAGGTACAGTGAAGTAGTGGTTTTTGTGCCACTGCTTTCATCTACCGCTACAACATTATTCATTTGTATGGTTTAAAATACTAACCGAATCTTTATTTCATTCTCATGCTGCCCCTTGTCTTCTCTCAACCAATAGGATGAGGAGGAGGGTATTTGGGCATAGCCAATCAGATGCTCTTAGTTCAGCCATTTTGTTCAGAACGGTGAGAATCAGCTTTCTTTAACAATAGCAAAATCTCCCATGGTCACTTTTGCATTGTGCTGTGATTCCTGAGACTTGGGTGTCTTCCCTTTCCCTTTCTAATGTGGCCTTTGCATGTAGATGTTTCCCTAGTTATGTGTTGTACATTTTGTTATTTTTAAATCTATGTTAGCTCATTATTGTTTTGTGTCACTATGAGAATACACTCTCAAAGCATGTGATTAGATGTATACTCAAAGAAACAGCATGATTCATCTTGGAACAAAGAATGTTTCCATTAAAATTAACAGTGCAAATTAAACATGATAGCTAATATTTAAAATAGCAGTATATTTACTTCAAGGCTGCATGCTGTAAAGCTTCTTCTAAAAATAATGTAAGCTATTTTTTCACTATTAAGGTTAAAGTATTGGAGCACACTGAACTGTAAAGTTAAGATTGTTACAATCTTACCCCAGTACCTGAATTGTTTGTTGAAACAGAATTGAATTTGGAGAAAAGTAATAATCATTTAATGAAAGAAATAACTCTTCAAATTCTGTGCTCATTTTCTGGCTGAGTAATTGGTTTTATTCATACACAAACACCAGAATCCAATTGGTGTTCTTGTAAAGTTTGCATAACATGCTGCTGCTAATTGATGAAGTGCCAAGATATGTTTCAGTTGCATACCTTGTCATCCTCTCCTTGGTTCAGCTGAGATGTTCATCAGTCAACTGTACCAAATTACACTACCCTTACATGAACACCAAAAGATCTCAGTGAATATTGTTTAGAGCCTTCATTGCAAGTTAGTTTTCTTGACAATTTAATCCATCTCAAACAGGATTGAACTTTAATGTCTGTTTTGGGGATGAAACAGGTAATTCTTTTCTCAGGAAAATGATTTAATTATGTTCATTGGTGATTTCATACTGTTTTGGAGTTGTTTCTTTGCCATGTGTTTGTGCTTGTGTTTGATGTTAAACTTTCAAGATGATGAAATGGAACGTAAGTATCTTGCTAAAGAAGCAGGGTAAAATGAGGTAAGTTGATGGGAGGGGGAGCACGGATTTCACTAAGAAGGGAGATGCTTAGGCTGTTTCTGATTGTGAAATAAAATAAAAATAAGGAAAAAAAGCATAAACATGAAATATAGATGCCTTTATCTAAATATGACTTTTTGTTCTATCAACAAATAGTGGATGACACAGATCATATTCTTCTGTATTGTTACAACAAAGGCTGTGCTGTATTGTCATTAGGAGATTGTTCATAGCGCCTTTGTGCAGTGTAATTGGTATATTAGAAATCATAAGTAGTAAGACAACATTATGCAAAACATATGAAGAAGATGCGGAAGTACAGAATATGAAGTAGAAATGGCTCAAAAAGACCCATTGTTGGAGTGTGGAAGTTGAAACCTGCAGTTTAATATTACATAGATAGCTGAATAAATACTATTTTAGGAATGGTGCTATTCACTGCAGGTAGAACTCTAGCCAATCAAAGGCAGTGTTTTGTGAAGTACATTTTAGAAATCTGTAATCTCAGAGTTACAAAATCTTCTTGCTGTGCTTCTATTTAGAAGTAAGGATTCACAGCATTCTGATAGCAGAACGTTGTCAGAAATTTCCTTATCACAACCACAACCTGATGTCCCAGTGGCAGGATATCTTGCAAACTTGAATAGCTTGAAGAGTGGAATGCTCTACCAACATGATAACACCGGATTCCCAGGCTTGTCATTGCACAACTGTAACAACCTGATTTCACTTGTGCAAGGAAGTAATTGCATACGTCCTTCTGTGAGCAAGAAGAAAGTCAAACCACTCACAACAAATACATGAACAGTTTGACAGAATCCCAGCCTAAGTGTTTTGTGAGGTGTTATGTTGCCCAGTGTTTTTTAAAGGTGTTTTAACAGAAGCCCCTTCTCTGGAATTGTTGTTCTTTGTTCATTCACTGTTTGAAGATTAACTGCCTAATACAAGTTAGTCTGTTGCATTTCAGTGTTTTCCAGGTAATCTTCCTATGTTTCTCATATCAAGGAAGAAGATCCTGAATAATCCTTACTTTTGTCAGAATGTTGGTTTTGGTCATCAAGAATGGATAGGAACTCATATCTGTTTGCCAATATGCCCCCTCTTTTGTTTGAATGGGAACCATCGCTTAATCAAATCAAACAAGCCACACGCAGTGCTTCAGATATACCAATTTTGCAGTTTTTCACTAATTCTTGTCTAAATGAGACTAGATGTATTATAAAACGAGGCTAGATCAATTCAAGGGAGAACAGTTTGGTATTGGCAAATAATGATCTTGCATCTAAGTATTTTATGAGAAAGAAGCATGACATAAAATGGTATTACAAGAGGACAGTGAGTCTGATAAATTAGAATCTGGTTTTTCAGCATAATGATATTTTTCAACTTATTCAAAAGACACAAGATAAAAATGAAATAGGTTTCAAGACTACATCTGAACTAGGCCTAAATACAAAAGCTTTTGTTCTTACCCAGCTTTGGTTTTATTTCATATATGATAGGGAAGATAACATAAAAGAGTTGGTTCTAGACTTCTTTGGATTGTTTTATATATCAAACATAGCAGCGTGGAATTTCTGAAATAATCTCAACAAAATAGTGTATTCTTTCTAGTCACCATTCTAGATTAGAACCCTAATTGTTTTACTTTGTAAACATTCTTTCTTTTAATAAGTTGTGGAAACTGCCAGTTGAATGCTCAGATTGGATGGGAAGAAATTGCTTTGTATATTTTTTTTAATAATGTAAAATGATAACATGGATTGGCTCATTTTGTCTCCTCATTTTATTATATCTTTGCAGAGCTTTGCATCTTTCTATGTTTTTGACCTTCTCTGTTCCATTTCTAATAAATGCAGCATATATTGTTTCAGCTTAATCTTCTATCATTGCACTGAGCAAACCTTTGCCTCATATTTGGCAAACAGTTCCACCTTTTAGAATGTCGTAACATTCCTGTTTAAATCTGGTCAGTTATTTCATTCCAGTTGTTTGTACTCCTATGCTAGTTTGAAAATCATCAGTACAGTTATCAAACTAATATTGTTTTAGAATAATGCTAAAATTCAACTGTCATGACTCTGGCATTTGATGACACTGTCTTCAACATCCATTTTGTGAATTGCATTCTGAGATAAATCGGATGAACATATTTTGCTGAACTGTATGAGATTGCAGCATTGTGTTCTATTTGCTAGACGAAGGGGATAAATGAAGGGTTATTTTCACTCAGCTGGAGTACTTGGCTGCAGAGCCAGGATTTGGGAGTCTGTGTGCCTTGGGCTAGTGTGCCTTGGACGAGTTTGTGTGGCCTTCGGCAAGCTGCGTGGTCCTACAATGCCTCAGTAAAAGAGAGTAGTGAACTAATCCTGAGTACTTTAAATCTAGAAAACTCTGAAAAAGGTGCCATGAATCAGAATTGACCTGGTGGGACATGATTGTTAAATCTTATTTTTATTTTTTAAAAATTTAAAGGTCATGACTAGAACTTTAGTTCATTGTTGGGCTGTAGCCTCTGCAACATGGACTAAGGTACTATTAGCCTTTGAGAATACATTGTACGGTACTCTAAATTGTTGTGGGATTTTTTTTCATGCATACTTTAAAATTTTGCCAAAGATCATTGGTATTTATATGTTCCGTATGCTGCCATGCCTGGGGACCTGAGAAGCACAGAGCAGTTTTACTACCTTACCTATTGAAATGCTTTTCTCTTTGTATGGTATACAAGCCATTACGTAATTTGTGACAGTGAGCTTATCTCATTACTTTGGGATGAAGGCTTAAAAGAACTGTAATTACAAATTACAGTAACTGTAAATACAAATGATCAGACCTAGATTTAGGTTGCTAATGGTAAACACCTTGAAAAGTATCAGGGAGACTCCATGTGTACAGATACCTGTTTCTTTCTTCCTGCCTTTCTAATGTTTTCCTTTTTCTGACTTAAGAACATCTCTGTTGTTTCAGTTTTTGAAGTCACCAGAAACAAGCAACAATAGTTCTATACTTTGGTAGTCCTTATGGTAATTTCATAGTTTAGCGTATCCTAGTATGATTATGTGCATGCTATTAATAAGAAAACCAGTATTAATTAGAGGAAAGATGTATCTTGGTATCTGTTGCATCTTATGAGAATTGGCACAAGATGTGGAACACAATGGTTTCACATTGAACAGCGAAAATGTACTGCCAGTTTCCAAAATGTTTTGAGCAGAGGAAAAACGGACATACAAAAACAGCATTTGATGTTGTCGTAATCTGATCTGATTTAGTCCCTATGTAACAGCTCTGCTTTGTACACTTAGGAAGGAACCAAACTGCTTGTGAGATATGGTGACTCAGAGACAGAAGTGAGCAGAAGACAGGGTACAGAATAATAAGAGCC